ATGTCCTGTCTTCATCTTAAACTTTATTTGTCTCTGTTATGTAGTTTTTTTTTTCTTTTATCATGGATTGTTTTTTTCTTTAGTGCACATGTTACCTTTGAGCTACTCGTTGTTAAGTTTCAGTCACCTGAATGTGTTAGTGAATACAGGCTACTACAATTGTACATTTTGTCTGTGCATGCTGGTGATCATATCATGTTGTGGTATAAGGTTCCCTGGTTGATGTTTTCTACCTTTAAGTAGTTCTAAGAACTTCTATTTCTTCCCACTAAAAAATTTCACCTGCAGACTAATTATTGTATTTTTTTACAGCTTTTTGAGAATTTGCAGAAGTTTCTTGGGGTGAAACATGAATTAGATGCAGGGTTCTCATGGTCTCTTGTCCGTAGAACAAGTGAAGATTCAGATTCATCTCTTCGTGGGCATTCACAAAGAATTGAATGCAACTCTAAACTGGCTGTTGCATTAACAGTTATGGATGAATGTTTTTTGTCTATTGTTGACAGGAGGAGTGGGATAAATCTAATTCATAATGTTCTTTATAATATTGGGTAAGAACATTTTTTCTTGCCCTAAGTAATACTGATATAGTTTGTTCGCATCATCATAACTCTAATACTCTGAGAGTGCTCTTCTTACTTTTACTATATTTACTTAATTTTGATTGCTCTAACATGGATAAAACTATTTGATCACAATCTACAGCAAAATTTTGTTTTAAAAATTATTTTCTCGTCATGGTATCTGAATGTTTTTCTGATGAGTTTCATATTTAATGTTCCAGATCAAACTTTTATAGGCTGAATTATAGTGGCTTCTACACTGCTATTTTGGAAAGGGGTGATGAAATCATCTCTGCAGCAACAATCAGGTATCATGCATCACACTTCATTTGGCGTGGACATATTAACTTGGTATTTGCAGAAGGAAGAAATTTGAATAGACCATATAGTTTTGCTTGTGCATATTTGCAGAAGGAAAAATTCAAGTAGACCATGCTCTAGATAGAAATATAACTTTTAGACATAATTGATTATTTATCTTCTAGGATTTGATATCTTCTAACCATATTAGTTTATGGAGAAAGAGATACCTATTGAATGGTAATCTGGTGAAATAAGCTTTTGGTTCAATGTTCCAGTTTTGATGCTTGCTTGAATAGTAAGGTTTTGCTGATATGTGCTATCTTTGATATGGTTAGGTTTCATGGGACTAAGTTAGCTGAGATGCCATTCATTGGGACCCGTCATATATATAGACGTCAAGGAATGTGCCGTCGTCTTTTTTGTGCAATTGAATCTGTGAGTTACCCAAAAGATGTTTCTTAATCTTTTCCTACTGTTATGGGTTTGCAAATTTACCATACTACTTTCCTTCAATGACTGCAATGTTTATCATGTTTTCCTTCTGTTTAGGCTCTTCGCATGCTTAAGGTTGAGAAACTGATTATACCAGCAATTGCCGAGCTCATGCATACATGGAATGTTATTTTTGGCTTTATCCCTTTGGAGCAATCACTCAAGCAAGAAATGAGATTGATGAATATGCTGGTGTTCCCTGGAACAGATATGTTACAGAAGTTGTTAATCGAAGAGACAATTGTTGAGGAAAATGCTACTACTGCCTCAGGTTTTATATCGTTCTCCTCGTTTTTATTTTTCGAATAAAATTGGTTTTGCCTGCCAATGTAATTATTCGCTCTATGTTTTTGCTTAAAAGGTGCAAAGCAAACGGATTGTAGAAGTACAGAGTTCAGTAGTCCTAAGATGGATGCAGAGACCTCATCTGGACAGGAACCTCAAAGTTGTGATGACACTGAACAGCGGCACTCCAAGAAGACAACAAATGAAGCAGCTGACACTAACCCGGATCCTGAATCCATGCCTGGTTCTCCAAATGATACATCTGTGGTGAATAGTTCTCTGGACGCATCTCGTGAAGTTAAAACTTCTTGCTTTCCAATGGAAACTGAAAATTCAGATTCTGATTCTGGTGATAAATTAGCTGAATGTTCCTCCGATGGGAAATGTTCATCTCCCTCCGACCGAATGGGCATCTCTCTTCCAACCAAAAATAGGCCTGGAATTCAGCATGTTTCAGAAGACCATTCGCAGTCCACTTCTCAATGTATGGCAGCTGATACTCCTTCAGACAGTTTGCTTGAACCTAAGGTTACAATTTCAGATGAAGGAATCAGACGTTCGAATTCTCATGCTGGGCACAAGTTGGTTGAATCTGATTCTCAGAAGAAATCTTTCCCTTCTACTTTAGACTATGGCACTGATGAGTTTGAAAACAACATACCCGTGATGGATTCTCCTGAATATGACAAGTGTTTGAATAAGATTAATGGTCATGATTTTCGTGAAGACAATGCCCATGCTATTTCTTTTAAACCTGCTCATTGGGATGAAAATTTTGCTAATGGCGTTGTCGGTGAAAAGCCACTTGTCTCTTCATCTGGTCTGTGTGGCTCTAATGGACGCCCCTCCGAAACTATATCTGATGATGGAATTTGTGGCAGTGAAAATTCTCCACAGACCTGTGGGGAAAAAGTCAGGTGATTCACGGGAAGAGAGAGCTGAATCTGGTTCGGTTTGATAAATTGAGGCTCCATGTTGATATTTCATCTCCAAATTAACTGGGTTATTTCTCATGCGACCACTTTGTTGCTGGTTTGTGTAGGGCTCTGTTGCTAAATGGCTAGTGCTTAAATTGAGATGAGTTGCAATAATTAATATTGCTATTTGACAGAATTTATTCAACTTTATGCTGTTCGGTGTTAGATCATAATCCACCTTCGGTGATAGTTAACACGATTTTTTCAGCCCTGGAGTTCTACAGAGGTGCCCTTGATGGAAGTAGCATGGTTCAATTCACTGCCTATCTCTTCTGAAATTGCTGCTCTGAAACACGAACTCATTCATCATGCTGGCTAGCTTGGAAGATCAGACTTCTTCATGGTATGGTCGGAACTTGAAACCGACTTCAGTTAGTAGGTTCGAGAACTCTCCAAATGGCAGCATCTTTTTTTTCTTGAAATGGAGCATTTCCATTCTTAATCAGGGTGAAGCTAATCTCTTGGATCATAATCTTCTTGTCTAAGTATCTGCTATCTGCTGCTCAGCCTTTTCGACGAACACAACCCCAACAGAGGTGAAGAATTTAAAATTCCGAGACGTTTTCAAGTTGTCAAGGTTTTCTTGTGGGCTGTTTCACAGAAATATATTGATACTCATTCATATTACTCGTAAGAATGATACGAGAACAACACCCTTGGGTGTATAGGCTGTGTTTGCTGGAATGACCAGGCTTGTCACCTCATTTTGCTGCAGTCAGTCAGGGGCATCATCTAATTCTCAGAAATTTCACCATCTTCTTGGAAGCTACAACGCTGCCAACCATGAGTGTTTAGGGTTGGTTTGGTTAAAATGTGTGAAGGCAAAGGGTCAACAAAGATAATAGCTTTTAGTGAGAGTTAGAATAGGGCGTCCATTGTTTACCAACTGTTGTTATTGGGAATTACTTGTAATTATCTGGTGCACATGTATTTAGTTTGAACTGCTGGCTGAGGCTAGATTTTGCTCCACTTTTTTCTCGAACCCCCAACTTTACTTTTTCGCCTGCGTCTAGAAATAAATTTTGTCGGGTGAACTTTTAATTTTGTGTCGAAAAGTATCGAAATACTGTGAGTGATCTGGAGATTTCTCAGCTGCTGTTGATGAAGCGTGTCACTGGTATGTAAAGTCATGAACAAAAATGTGGATGCAGAGCTCAGATTGTTACAAGATTCTTCAGCCTTGTTCAAATCATTAGCCATATCCCTGGTTGCTTTCTGTAGCAGAAAGTAAGATATTTCTGCATGTGAATGCCTGACCTGTCTCCTGTAGTAGAATGGTATTGTAAATTCATTATGATTTGATCATCAGGAACTAAACTATATGGTTTTTCAGTTGTATGCCTCTTGGGCAGCAAATCCTTTGATAGTCTCCAATGGACTCTGAAGTTCGTCTCCAATGGAGTCTTCCTGTAATGACTCACGCAGTGTCTTCTCTATCTTCTCTACCTCCCTTGCAGACTTCAGGTAAACCTTTCACAATGTTTTCTTCGACTATTAGATACAAAATTGAAAGTTTTTGTTGTAGCAGCCCAAATCTGCCGTTAGTAGTTAGTAGATATTGTCTCGTAAAAACCATTTAAAATGCGCCTACTAAGAAGAGGTTTCCATACCTTTGTAAGAAATGTCTTGTTACCCTTTTCCAACAAACGTGGGATCTTACAATCCACTCTTTTGGGAGCCCAACGTCTTCGCTGACACGCCACTTTGTGTCTGGCAACATCTTCGTTGGTACAACCACTCGGTGTCTGGCTCTGATACCATTTGTAACAGCTCTCCAATCCACCCTTTTTGGAGTCTAACATCTTCGTTGACACACCACTTGTCTAGCAACATCGTCGTTGGTACAACCACTCGATGTCTAGCTCTTATACAATTTGTTGTCTGGCTCTTATACAATTTGTAACAACTCAAATCCATCACTAGCAAATATTGTCCACTTTGATTTGTTATGTATCGTAGTTAGCCTCACGTTTTTAAAAACATATCTATTAGGGAGGTTTTCACATCCTTCATACTTCGTTCTCATCCCTAATAGTTTATGGATTTATTAGATATAAAATTAGAAATGGAAAATTTTACTTTTTTTTTTTTAGGTATTATTATTTTAATTATTTTATGTTGATATTTCACCTCTATTTTATTATAAGTTTATTGTTTTAAAATGAAAAGGTCTGTTTTTAGATCTAAATTATTGGATAAAAATTTTAAAATTGTATTTATTAAAAAAATGAAATTAATAAATTTTTTATTATTTGATATATAATGAAATAGGTGTGAAAGAAAAGGAAAAAGAAAGAGATAATATAATAAAAATTAAATTAAATAGTTGGTGGGGCCGGAAAGGGAATCGGGAAGCAATCGCTGAATAAAACACCCATTCACCTATCCAGTTAGCCCGGAAGCTAAAAACGGAGATTTTCTGATTTCTCGTAAACCCTAGGCGGTTCCGCCCGCTTCTTCAACAGCCATGGCCGGCGGTAACAATACAAGCCAGCCGTCTCAGAAGCCTCCTTCTTCTTCCACCGCCCCTTCTAACCGGAAATCCCGCTGGGAGTCCTCCACCAACAATCCTCCCTCCGATCCCAAATCCGATTCTAAATCTTCCAAACCCCATAATCCTTCCTCCAAGGTTGCAATTAGTCCCAATTCCACTCACCCCAAGCATCCCGCCGACAAGGCTGCTAATCCAACTCCGGCATCGGCTCCTCTCCATTCACCTGGAGTTCTTCTTCCCTTTTCCGATCCCTCGGATCTTGGCCCACCGCCTCCGCCGTCTTATGGATTCCACATGCTCGATCGTCGCACGATTGTTCTTGCTGATGGCAGCGTACGGTCGTACTTTGCTCTCCCTCTGGACTATCAAGATTTTACTCCGCCTGCAAGGCCCATGGATCTTGCTGCTCGGTTTTTACCAATGGGCTCCGGTGGTCCTGGCCGTGAATATGGTGGATTTGACCGTCGGTTTCCCCCCGGTGGCCCTATGAGTCCAAATGAATTTCGGGGTGTTCGGGAAGAACAATTTGCTCGTTCCAGGCCTCAAGATCACTGGAATTCTCGAGGGACTGACGAACGTGGTGGTCCTGCAGAATTTTCGATGAAGAGGAAATTCAATGACGACAATGAGAAAGACAGGAAGGATGAGAAAGACGAAATGTCTAGGCGACAACAGCAATTCTTGCACAATGAGAATGCAAATGGGTTTCATACTGGTTCTGGCGAACGGCGGGGTGATTTTTTGGTGGGAACGAGTGATCCATATGGTCGAACAGAAGATATAAGGTTCTCGAAGTACATGCGAGTTGGTGGTAGTTATGAAAACGAAGGTTTAAGGCCAGGTAGCGGTCACAATGTAGCTCCTAAATATTTGGAAATTGACCAGAATGCATTGAGAAAGGCATTCCTTCACTTTGTGAAGACTATCAATGAAAACGCAACTCAGAAAAAGAATTATTTGGAGGACGGGAAACATGGGCGTCTTCAATGTCTTGCTTGTTCAAGGTTTGATGCAATTGGACTCTTTGTGTCTTATCTCTTTGACTTGCAGTATTTTTATATATTGCTGATAATTAATGCTTCTCTGCCCTGCATCCGGGATAATTTATGGTGGATGCAGTTAGCTAATACATTCCACTGTTTGTTTGCACTGTCTGCTGTGATTAAGAAGGAAGTGAATGCGTTGAGCATATGAGCATATGCGTTCTTGATCGCCCTTTCCAATTAAGATGTTTTTCTGCTGCTGCCTTTTCTTTTAAGACTGATATAAAGCATTTAAGGAGGGTATGGATACTGACTTGAGTGTCCGTGCCTGTGGCAAATACTATGCATTCATTGTACTATTCTAATTTTGGATTTTGATATGTTTAATTGATTGACGAGAAGAAGGGAAAGGAGAACTAGACTCTCTTCTAATATTTTCCCTGCGTCTATTGTGGTGGTTGCTGTGAGCAAATACATTTGACTGTTTGTTTGCTTTTGATAGGGAAAGGTGAACTAGACTCTCTTCTAATATTTTCCCTGCGTCTGTTGTGGTGGTTGCTGTGAGCTAATACATTTGACTGTTTGTTTGCTTTTGATTTTGTCGTGACTGAGAAGGGAGTCAATACTTAAAGTGGATGCTTCTTGATAACTTTTCTTTGCTCTTACTTATCCTTAATGAGTGTTGTATACAAGCATTTGAGGAAATTGTGGATGCTGGCTCCTGCTGAGTGTCTGGCCATTGGTTTTGTTGTACTTTTCCTCCTATACATTCGTTCCCCATATTATGTAATATAGGATAGTGGTGTAAGATGGTTGGTTTGGTGTTAGAGGTGTGATCTTTCATCAAGTTCAATGTCTATTTGGGCATCTTAGTTATTTTAGATTGTACCATTTTTTGTGTAGTTAGTCTTGACTTTGTTTTGGCTCCTTTTGGAGGGTTGTCTTTGTGTATGCTTTTGTATTCTTTTATTGAGATCTCATTCTTTTAACATTAACAAAAAAAAAAAAAAAAAAAAAAAAAAGGTCTATTGGGGTTGGTTTTTGGCCAAAACCAACCCTGAATTGGCTTGTCAGTAAAAGCAACCAACTGATCAATTTTGGGCTTTATTGTTACACAACGGAACTAGGGGATGGGCATAGTCCATTGACTGTTGGACTTGAACATAATTTTGCTTCCTAACCAATGTGAATGGCTTGGAATGGCCACAAACATACTCTCGTGGTTTCTGGTAATTCTAGAGGGGTAAGTTTTGTTGATATGTTTAGACTTCGTCCTGTGCGTTGTCTTGCTTTATACTTAATTCTTTTTTACTAATTATTATTCTTTTTTAATTTCTGGATATGAATTTCCATGTGATGCTATTTTTATTGCAAGGGTTGTTTAAGGGTTTTCCCCTTATTTGTTATATTATTTCATTATACTGTATATGTATATTTCTTATCTAGTTACCTTATATTTTTTTAGGAAAGTATGATTGCATCACTGGGTAAGTGCCATTACCCTGCAACCTTAGACATTTTTTGTTCACTTCATTGTGATATTGATTCACCTTTTGTATTGTGTTTTTCTATAGGTTTGGTCTCTTTTAGCCATGTGATACAGTTCGATGGCTTGTATGGATGCAATTATTTTGTGTGTACAATATGGTTTTACTGCCTTACCATCAAAAGTTGTATCTGGAAAAACCTGTTCGCTTTATGGAGTGAATCAGCTGGTTATATTTGTTTCTCCCTTTACAAATAGTGCCAATAGGAAGCTGGTGGAATGCTACTAACTCTATCTGATACATATAGCTATGACGCATTAGTGGTAAAAGATATTGTGTTAGTTATCTCTTTGATGGTAATTGTTTGGTTAGGCATTAATCCAAGCTTGTAAATTGTAGTTGATTTGATGCCATAATCATAATCAACGAGGGAGACCTGTTTAGCCTTTTTTTTATGAAACTCCCTGTCCTGCATATATCAATTTGAAGTATTTGTGGATTTAGGTTGCCAAATGCGCTGCTTTGATGTGACTGAGGTTGAAAGTTTCTCATGAATGAATAATTTCTTCAATTCTAGTGTCTGGCTATGTGACAATACATGCCATTTAACTTGCTATGTGGCAATACATTCCACTTTTTTGTGCCTGTGGGGAAACATGAGTAGCAATAGAAGAAAAAATAATATCTCTCCTGAGAGGTATCAATACTTAGTATAGTGTCTGATAGGATGTTTTTTCGTGCCTTTTTCTTTCTCCAGGGGGGGGAACTAGCTGATAACTTGTTTCCTTGGTGCCATTCCTATGTCCTAATATTTATGAAGGACCATTCTTCGCTTATCCATTGTTGGCCTGGAAACTTACAAATATTTTATTGATTTTCCTTTTGGTGATTTTCTAATTAAGAAGGAAAACATGAAACTGTTCCTAGTGGTTGAGAGGACTTCAAGGGCTATATGGGAGCTTTTTGTTTGTATGGACTCGTTTTGTTTAAGGATTGCAGTCCTTGAATATTTCCCTGTTGGAGAATCCTTATTACCTTTAGTATAACTCAAGCTTGTTCAATATGAACTTTGTTAGTTTGGTTTGGTATTTGAATGGTGTACCTGTTCTCTCTTTTGTGTAATTTGTTTCTTATGAAGTGTACCTATGGGATTTCAACCATGAAAATATCTGAACCTTTTTACCAACCATGTATTCATATGGTGTACCTGTTCTCTCATTGGTCCCATATCTTCCTTATAACGTGAGCCTATGGGATTTCAACCATGAAATTATCTGAACCTTGTTACCAATCATTGATTCCTAAATATTGTGCATGTTTGGTCATTAATAAACTGCTTGTCGTCTCAAGCATATGTTTGAATTTCAATAGTCATTAAACGGGTAGAAATAGTGTAGGAGATTTCAAGCTTCAATGTTTTGATCAATGGATTTTGCAGACGAGGAACCCTTATTATTGGTTATATGAGGTTTCTTAATGTAGTAGAAGGATAGATAGAAACCATTTGATGAACTAAGGAACCCTTATTATTGGTTATCTGAGGTTTCTTAATGTAGTAGAAGGATAGATAGAAACCATTTGATGAAACATAGGAACCATAAGTTTTTTAGGTATGTTGTTATTTAAGTTCCTCTCATTATGAAATTGTATAAATTCAAATAATCTTAGTTATGGAAGAAGGAACTATGATTCTCACTGCTCAGTAATCGAGATCATTCACCCATTGACTTCACAGACCTGAAGATTGATAAATTTGGTGACAGGAGAACCTGAGATGGAAAATTTTTTCCTCTTCTGCTATTTGTCTGGACTGCATCTTCCATTTTTGTTTGGGATCACAAAGTTGGAACTATTGCAACAAAAATTATAAATCTTTCTAAGGATTACTGCAGTTGAGAAGAACTTTAATGGTTGGTGGTATGATGTTAGCTTGTTTTAAAAGAAGCAGTTTTGAGACCTAATTTCTGTGATATGGATGCTTGATTTCTGTGCTTGATAATGCTTTTTGCAATATTGGAGTCTTCGTTTCCTCCTTAAACCTACCATTTTAAGTGGTGTACGCCACTTTATTCCTAATTTGGTTCAAATTTGTAGGCTTATATTATAGTTTGAACCTATTAAAAATCATATTTTGGCCCCCTAAAGAATGTTGCCCCCTCCTTTACATGCTTGCTTTCAGGTCCTCTAGAGATTTTCCAGATATGCATGGCCTTATTATGCACACATACAACTGTGATAGCGCTGACTTGCTAGTAGATCATCTGGGTTTACACAAAGCTCTTTGTGTATTAATGGGGTGGAACTACTCAAAGCCTCCTGATAGTTCAAGAGGGTACCGGTATCTATCTGCTGATGAAGCAGCAGCTAACCAGGAGGATCTGATTATGTGGCCTCCTCTAGTTATCATCCATAATACAATTATTGGAAAGGGTAAAGATGGGCGCATGGAGGGTTTGGGAAACAAGGCAATGGATAGTAAAATTAGAGGTATAATGAACCTTTTTACTTTTTTTCATTTTTCATTGTTGTTTGAGTCGATTTATCTCTTGCTAGACAGAATAAGGTCTCTGTTCAAGTAGCTGTACTGCATCTACAACTTTACTGCCCAGCAATTTCACTTAGAAGCACATAAAATGTCCCTTGTCTGTCTCATCTGTCACAGATGTTTTAGAAAATAGATTTAGATTGCAGAGTGCTTTAATGAATTTTTAGTTGCTGATGAGAACCATGGTTATATTTATCTGCACGTACTATTTTAGTTAATGAACTTGAGGTTATATCTGAACCCTCCATGAAGGAGTTGATGGCACACGTGGAAACTTAGTCTTTCTGGGACGGTCTTGTTTTAGTGTTCGTGGAACTGTTCCAAATCCAATTGGAAGGGATTTTTTTTGTTCCTTTTTCTCTAGGATATCCTTATCCTCACTCTTTTGTACTTTTCTTGACGAAATAGCAGCTTTGTATTGATTGAATGTGAATGAAGCTGTTTCTTTTTTTCCATTGAGTTGATTCCGTTCAAGTGTTTATGCGTTGTAGGGAGGGGTAACAGTGTCCAGTCCATAAGTATTTTTCTAGTTTTCTTTTAATAATTTATTTATCAGGTCTCTTCTCTCTCTCTCTATCTCTCTCCCACTTGTGTCACGTTAGCTACAGCTATCTGCTTGATAATATACATTTTTATGTACCTTAATTATTTATTAGTATAGTTGCTGATTATACTTGGGTTATATTTTACCTGGTTCATAACATACTTGTAATTAACTTACCTTAATTTTTTTTTTCTGAATCCCCCAAGGATAAGTTGATGGCACGTTGGAATCTTTTGGGGGGTTTGTTATAGTCCTGTTTTTGTGTTGGTGAAGCTGTTTCACATCTCCTTTGAAGGGATTTATGTAATCCCTTTTCTAATCAACGTCCTTAAATCTCTGTAGTTGCTTTTGGTGTCCTTGGTGATTTTTTTTTACCCTACAATCTTTGTTGGCTGACAATCTTGAGATATGATCTATGGAATAGCTATACAGAATCAAGGGAGTTTATCTGAGAAATTTTCATTTCACTACAGGCATGTGCTTTGCACATTAGATATTATTTTCAGCATCTTCCACCCTCTCAAATGTTGTGTCTAACATATCTTTTATTTTGTTGTTTTAAACCCATTTTCTTCAAATAGATTGTTTTCTTTGTTCTTATATCATATAGGCTTATGAGAAGTTAGTGGCAGGTTACAGATCTTTAGATGATCCATTTTGTCGATGCATGGGAGATGCTCTCATATTAAGCTAAGGGCAACGTTTGTATTTGACCTCACCTTAACAATATTTATCATGCTAGTTTCTAGTGTGGTGTTTTGTTAATTGGTAGACATGATAATAATTTGCTTCTGAGGTTCATTTATTATTACATTTGATTTGATTTGATTTTCCCAAATTCTCAAGCTTCCTGAACTGGGTGCTTGGATTCTGTGTCCTAGTTATTTAAATGATCATGCATGCTATACACTTGTGGAAACTGCCTCTTGTTGTCTGTAGCTTCTGACGCTTTTAAGCTTCTTGTAAACAGTTCTCAAAATGTCTATTTAGTTTATACACGGCCACCTCTGTTCCTAGTGCAAAGGCCTTTACCTTTTATAATCCAGTGGCTAGTTTGCTATCAATATATTGGCATTAAGATGTCTTGACGAGTCATTTGGCCTTCCTTTTTTTTTTTTTTTTTTTTTTTTCAGAACTTGGGTTTGGGGGTGGGAAGTCGAAGTCTTTGTATGGAAGGGAGGGTCATTTGGGCACAACCTTGATCAAGTTTTCGGGTGAGCAGTCTGGCCTCAATGAAGCCAAGAGACTGGCTGAATTTTTTGAGAAGGACAATCATGGACGTAAAGCTTGGGCTTGCATACGACCTGCAGCATTGGGCAATGATGATGATAAAAACCCAAACCTTGTGAAGGTGGATGAAAAAACTGGAGAGAGGAATAGAATTTTCTATGGTTATCTTGCAACTGCAGCTGATATGGACAAAGTTGATTTCGATACAAGGAAGAAGGTAGCCATAGAGAGCTATAGGGATATCAAATCATCAAGGTAGAATATCTCCAAATGTAGTTCAGCTCATGTTTAATTTGCATCCTCGGATGAGCTGCAACGCTTGGATCCGATTTATTTTTGAGCTCGATGGTCATCGGTATAAAGTCTACCAAACAGCTTGTTGAATATTGTCCGTTCGTCAAAAGGAGGTGGGTGGTTGTTTGGACTACCAGTGAACATTACTTCAGGAATTTCCCTGGTTTTGTTGCATAATTTTATTTCTACCGTAGGATGAATGTGTATGGTAGGATGTTGATTATGGATCTGGCTTGTCAAACGTCTTAAATTCTAATGATTGAAAGTTGTTGCATAAACAAACCTGGACAATCTCACCATCATAATTCTACGAACGAGCTATTTGTTAGAAGCAGGATATGAGCATAATTGTGATCATAATGACTCGCTGTATAAGCATATGGGAAGGAAGTTAATTCTGAGTTAACGAGCCTTCCGTTGCTTACTACTTTTCAGGACAAGCATACAATTTTAAAGTAGAGTGCGGAATCAATCCTCTGGGCTGTCTCCAGTTATGTTTCTGCGTGTACTTATTGATTGCATGTTTATCAAAAGGGAAGTTGATTGTGTAGGTGAGTTGCTTTGTTTTTAAAATATCTGGCACACTTGGGAGTTGGAGCTGACCGCGAGTGTGCATGTGTGAATAGATGCTCAGTCTTTGAATCTTGATGGAGGTTCCAATCAATTAATAACAATTGTTATTGGATGGATTAGACTCTCTTGCATTTATAACTTGATTCTAGCTTGAGATATATATCTTCAACTAGATGGTGTCCTCACCTTTGTTGAACTAATGAAAACTTGCATATGTATTTTTGTTCATTGGAGTACAAATCTGTGCATCTGGTCCAACCAATCAGGAGTGGATCCAGAAGGGTGAAACGCCTAATTTGGTTGTTTATATGGCAATTTAATCATGTTCACAGTAATCTAATTGAGTACTTTTTGAAGGTAAATGTAGCTTATGCAGCCGAGGTGGGATACCAGGAGGCCAACTTTTAGTGACAGTTTTTGTTTGCTTTTCAGTGTCTGTAGTTTCTGTTTGATATGATTTGAAGAATTTTTTCTTTGAAAAGTAGAAATAGGAAGGATATTATCTCTGGGGCAGTGATGTTGAATGCTGAAAATTAGTCTTTGGTGTCGGTGGAAGGAGGAAGATACTTTGAGAGTAGTCTCGGCTAGGAATCTTATCCACAATATTGTATGGTGGCGTCCAAGCTGGATGGTTACATCATCCTGCATTTATATTTTAACCAGGAAAGCCTCATAACTATTAGTATTATTTTGATGTGTTGTAAGCTATGTTATGTTGCAAAGATTCTTGCCATTTCCTTCATTTTGACAGGTAACTATGGAGTCAGTGTGGTTTTGGTTCAAACCATGGATCCACAGGAGAAAGAAGAATGGAACCCTAGATTGAAACGGGGTTGAGACAAAAGGTGGAAGCTGAGGATGGGGATGGGAAGGGAAAGGGAAAGGGGAAGATGGTGTAAGCTTTACACGTGTGATGCGCATGCTTGGAAGATGCTGGAGTTAATGTAGGGAGGAGGGTGAGGCAGGAAATGGCACTGTGCATAATTGCGTACCTTGTTTTGGCATCTGTCTGTGCTTTAACTGACTGAACCCATGTGGTGGTCAGACTATGTGGGCATGGCCCATCCCCCCACCTATACCCCATTCCTTTCCCTCTCTCTCTTTTGCTTTGGTTTTCGTGAAAGCACTTTCTTCTCACACCCTAATCCCTTCTTTCTCTTCTCTACGCTACACCTATGTTAATTAAGATACACCTAACTACTATACAACTACTTTCGATGTACTTGGTTGAGCGGTGTTCAAATTGGTTATAGTTGTTTTTCTATTGTTTTTTTGACTGAGCTATGCTCGAATTGTTTAGAGTTATGTTCTTGCTATTTGGGTTGATTATAGTTATTTTTTTATTGTCTTTTCGGCTGAGTTATGCTCAGATTAATCATAGTTGTTTTCTTATTGCCTTTTCAACTGAGCTATGCTTGAGTTGATTATAGTTGTTTTCTTTAGCGAGTTATGCTTGGATTGATAGCAAAGTCATTATGAATATACTCGTCGTAATTCATGTAGGTTGTGGTAATAAATGGGCTAGTCAATCTTGTGACTATGGAGCTACCATTATGTTTAGGTGACCAATAGACCGAGGAATAGGAGACTTGAAGTATACACTTATTTAGTGAGTCAAAGATGCTTGGTTAAAGGAGTCTAAGATGACCGAGACGTTTCCTTGCTTAGGTGAGATGAACTTGGTTGTGATGAACTTAGGAAATTGATCTCTTTAGACTTTAAAAATCATATAGTGCCTAGTATGACTAGTTTCAAGTAGGTTGCTTGACTAGTAAGGTTGGTCGTGCAATAAAACAGCTTTCAAGTAGGTTGCTTGACTAGTAAGATTGATCGTGCAATAAAACGACTTTCAAGTAGATTGCTTGACTAGTAAAACTGGTCGTGTAATAAAATAACTTTCAAGTAGGTTGCTTTGGATATTGCAGTGACGATATTGTAGGGGAGGTCTTGCGGAAAAATAGCTCTCTTAGAGTGAGAGATCAAAGTTCTAACTTTATCCAAACTAAACTCAATAGTAACACTATTTAAAGTATTAATATCTTGTTGACATTTTTAAAATAATGTCCCGATAAATGACTGTGCCCCGTAGGACGATAATTTTATGAACATTTGACGTTTTTACAGAGAAAATTGTTGTCTTGTTCACCTTTCCCAATCTTACCTTCAAAGAAAAGCATTTTGCTTCAACTTTACCCCATTTCCTTCCTTCTTTTATTCTTACATTTTTTTTAGAATAATAAATTATATTAGATTGTTCTTCATTTATTAGTAAGATTTATAATAATATGGTAAAACAATTACTTAACAATATGGTATTTAGTAATGTTCAATCATGATTGAAATTTATAAGTAATTTTTTTAAAAAAAATTTAATTAAATAAAACGGCCATTTTGCCAAAATTTAATTTTCAAAACAGACAGCAAAAGCCAAAATTGCAAAACACATCATTGATAATTCCATAATTAGAAAAGTATTAAATGTATGTTTTTTTGTTACAAATTGAAAAGTAATTTTAGGAATAATTGTAATAAATATACTCTATTTAAAGTATATTTTATGTAATTGAATAATTTACACTTGGAGCAATATTGTATGAAATTACTATTCATTAATCTAATCATATAACTTTTTTATTCAACTTAATCATTATTTTAATTTACAGATTAAAATAAAATTTAAAGATTCAAACTTTATATTATAAATTTGTCTAATAAATTCATATATTAAATCATTTCAATTTATTAAATTAATAGCTCTATCTATTTGAATATGGATTTCTAGAAAATTGAGAATTTATTAATAGAAAAAATTAAGAACTTAATTTTTTTTTTTTTTTTAAGAAAAGGAATAAAGAAATACCTTTAAAATTCAAAATCCTTTCAAAATTTCTAACATTTGAGTATAACGACGTGTGAAATAAAGTATTAAAAGCCAAAACTTGTAATTTAAATAAATAAATATATATAGAAAGTTGAGGGAAGAAAAATAGTATTTAAATTTAAATCCAAAGCATTTGATTTCGGCGTATTCTAGAATTGTTTCACACGTAACTTTTGGACGCCGGTTTCCGGTAATTATCGCTTACGTGTCATTCTCTTATTCGTTCCTGTAACTTCAGTGTCTTGTCCCTTTGATTTATCTCTTCCGTTCCAAGTTTCATTCCCTCCTCTTCTTTTCCACACGCCCTTCCTCTCTCTCTCTCTCTCTCTTTCCACCGCCGAGACGCCGCCACCGCCGCCGTTCGAGAGTTAAAAAGAAATGGGGACGATCCCCGATCCCGGCGAGTTGACTCACCCGAGTTTTGATGAGTTTCAAAGGCAGACGTCTCTGATGACGAGCTGTACTCTGCTCTGGAAGGAGCTCTCCGATCATTTTACTTGTCTGGAACAAGATCTTCTTAAGAAATCTGAGGCACTGAGGCATAAAATTCAAACCCTAGACCATCAGACTAAGGAGTCTCTTGACGAGCTGGATAAGCGCGAGGTTAGTATCCAGGGCAGTGTTCAGATCGCGCTTAGTAAGGTCGAGAAAAGCATGGAGGCGGCGCTTAAAGCGCTTGAGACAGAGGACGATGAGAATGGTGAAGTCGATGATGGCGATGGATTGTTGTTGAAGCTGAAATCCTTCTGTTTGGGAATGGATTCTGGAGGATTTTGGAGGTTTATCACTGGTAAGAAGAAGGAATTGGAAGCATTGAGGGCGAAAATTCATCTGGCTTTAGCTGAATGCATCGATCCACCGAGATTCGTGCTGGAGGCCATCTCGGAGGTGTTTCCACTGGATAAAAGAGTGGAAAAAAGTGATGGAGGGAACGATTTAGGCTGGGCTTGTGTTTTAGTGCTTGAATCGCTGATTCCAGTTGTTGTAGACCCTGTGATAGGGAAGTCAAGGATTTTGGTTACACCTAGCATGAAAGAGCGCGCCAAGGAGATCGCTGAAACTTGGAAGGCGAGCTTGGAAGAGCGAGGTGGAATCGAGAATGTTAGAACACCAGACGTGCACACCTTTTTGCAGCACTTGGTTACTTTTGGGATTGTGAAGAGGGAAGACATTAATTTGTATAGGAAGCTCGTGGTTGGATCGGCCTGGCGTAAGCAGATGCCCAAGCTGGCGGTATCACTTGGCCTTGGTGATATAATGCCTGGTATAAATTCTTTGCATTTCCCTTTTGTTTCATATGGAAAACTGATATGATTTTTGATCTTGATCTTATTTTAGAAGCAAGAAATGGGTTATATTCTGTTCTTGCTCTATAAGATCCAACCATGGAACTATATGAGAGAAATGATCTGTAAAAACTCATTAAACCACATTTTAACGGATCAATGAGAGCTTTTATGCAAATTGCACGGCAAATATATCTATGAGAAGGGTTATGTTGGTAGCATATCAAATTTTCACAACATTCCATGGATTTGAGGCTGAGTGGTTATTTTGAAATTGATTGCTAAATGTTTCATTGTTCTTACTAATTGCAATGTTCTTATTCTTAAACTCGCATCATTTGTTATAATTACTATATCATGGACGACATTACTGTAATGGGAGAGCTGCTATCTATGTGTAGATATGATTGAAGAACTAATCAGCCGGGGGCAGCAGCTTGATGCCGTGCATTTTACATATGAGGTTGATCTTTTGGATAAGTTCCCTCCTGTTCCACTGCTGAAAGCTTATCTGAAGGATGCAAAGAAAGCTGCAGCTGCCA